TTTAGGGTTTAGGGTTTGAGGTTTAGGGCTTAGGTTTAGGGTTTAGGGTTTAGTGTTTAGGGTTTAGGGTGGGAAACATGTACCTCTGGCAGCGCTTCTGAGAGTCTTCTTGAGCCTACATGCGGCTTCCGGCGGAACTGTCGGGGGCTTTCCGCCTTGATGTCCTGAAGGATCGCGTTGCGCGCAAGAAGCCCTCGTACAGGCAGAGGGGTTAGGGTTAGGTTTTTTGGGTGCAGGGGCCACATGGACCCTTTTGAAACAAAACCCACCTATAGAAGTCAAACATCGAAATGGTGCTTCTGTTCTCAGGGCACCTAAAGTAGAGAGCACAAGCGTGACAAACATCCATCCGAGCAGCCACGTTAAGGCAACCCCGAGCGCACCAACCCTTACACTCCATCCGAGTTTAGGACCCTACAACCCTACCCTAAAGCCCTAAACAACCCTAAAACCTTAAACCAAGAGATGGAGGACCAGCCCTCCAGCCTCGACACAAAAGCGCGAGCGCACCTGAGCCCTTTAGGGTTGTTTAGGGTTTAGGGTTTAGGGTTTAGGGTTTAGGGTTTAGGGTTTAGGGTTTAGGGTTTAGGGTTTAGGGTTTAGGGTTTAGGGTTTAGGGTTTAGGGTGCCTGAGGACCCCGCCCACCGTCTCCGCTTCAGACAAGGCCTTCTCCAGCAAGGTAATCTCGCGCTTCGAGATAGCCTGGGAGTAGCTGGGTTTGGGGTTTAGGGTTTAGGGTTTAGGGTTTAGGGTTTTGGGTTTAGGGGTCGGGGTTTAGGGTTTAGGGTTTCGGGTTGGGGGCAGCAGGGCCCGACTGAAGGCTTACCTCTGAGTTACTTCGACTGGACGGCTGATATAAGACTTGCCTGTCAACGAAGTCGACCTATGTCGACATCTGTCGACATTCGCAACTAAACCCTAAACCCCAAACCCTAAACCCCAAACCCTAAACCCCAAACCCTAAACCCTAAACCCTAAACCCCAAACCCTAAACCCCAAACCCTAAACCCTAAACCCCAAACCCTAAACCCCAAACCGCTGTTCTCAGGAAGCGCTCCGGGTGGTGACTTGGCCCCGCGCCTGCTCGAGGCCTGCCCTGGCCTGCGGCCACAGCTCCCGCTGCATCGTGCTGATGGCATCCTTAGGGTTTAGGGTTTAGGGTTTAGGGTTTAGGGTTTAGGGTTTAGGGTTTAGGGTGTGTGGGGTTTAGGCTGTGTGGGGCTTAGGGCTAGGGTATATAGGGTTCGGGGCTTAGGGCTTAGGGATTTGGGGTTTAGGGGAAGGGTTTAGGGTTTAGGGTATCTGGGGCTTTAGGGCATATGTGGGTTTAGGGTATATGAGTATTTTGTTTAGGGTAAAAATAGTGGACCCCTCATGCCTCGTGGCTTCTGGGGCGCCCCGGGCTTTCAGGGCTTGCGTAGGGTTTTAGGGCTTGACTTTGAAGAGTTCGAGCTGCCCTCTCTTAAGTTACCCAGGTGAGAAGCTTGGGCTTAGAGAAGTTTTGGTTTTGGTTAAGGTGCCGGGTTTGTAGGTTGAGGTCGTTCGCGCTGTTAAGGTTTGAGGCCTTGAGGGGTCAGCCGTAGGACGATTTCAAAGCCTTTTGCCCTTTAAAAATGCTTAAAAGCATGCGCCACGGTTGTGCCGGGGGGGGGGGGGGGGGGGGGGGGGGGTGGCCCCCCCTAAACCCTTGAACCCAAAACCCTTACACGCCCCTGACCCTTAAACCCTTAAATCCTTAAACCTTGAACCCTAAACCTTAGACCCTTAAAAGCCCTTAACCCTTAAACCTTGGGATGTTCTCCCTCATACTAACAGTCCTTAATAGGGATGACAATAAGGGGTACCGTAGTCCCTATTAAGGACTGTTAGCATAAGGGGGAACATCCCAACTTCAACCTGAAACCCAGTGTGACCAAAACATACAACTCGGAAATGTAACGATCCTCTGACCTTCTATACTTTTGAACTACTTGGCAGTGTTGAGCTTCCTTCGTGTGGGAACTTAAAACCCCTAAGCCCTAAACCCCAAACCCTAAACCCTAAACCCTATACCCTAAACCCCCAGGCTCCTGGAGCAGTGAGAGGTCATCGGCATGGTCGAGACCGAACGACTCGGCTTTGGCGATGATGGCACGGAGGCCTGGGATGATGAGGGCTTAGGGTTTAGGGTTTCGGGTTTAGGGTTTAGGGTCTAGGGTCTAGGATTTAGGGCTATTTTGGGTTTTGAGGGTTTGACGGGGTGCAGGATTCATGTTTGGGGTGCTGAAACCCCACACCCTAAACCCTCAACTCCTCTGAGCCCTAATTCCCTACCTCCTCCTCCCCCCACCCCCGCCCCAAACAAAAAACAAGCAACAACAAAAAACATGAAGAACTGAAAAAAACCTAAACCCCTAATACCGAATCCTCCAAACCCCGAAACCCCTTAATCCTAAACACCCCCCCACCCCCCACCCCCCCGCCTGCAAACCCCTAAACCCTAAAACCCTAAACCCCTAAACCCCTAAACCCCTAAACCCTAAACCCCTAAACCCCTAAGTCCGCAGACTGCTTGCATAAACCCCTAAACCCCTAAACCCCTAAACCCCTAAACCCCTAAACCCCTAAACCCCTAAACCCCTAAACCCCTAAACCCCTAAACCCCTAAACCCCTAAACCCCTAAACCCCTAAACACCTAAACCCTAAACCCCAAACCCGTAAACCCCGAAACCCTAAACCCCTAAACCCCTAAACCCCTTAAACCCTAAACCCTAAACCCCTAAACCCTAAACCCTAAACCCTAAACCTCTTCCTCCACTCGGGCCCCAGCGCGGGACCTCGCAGACGCTGATCGCCTCCTCCAGCTCCCCCACAATCTCAAGGCGGCTCTCCTGCGCTTGAGGGTTGAGGGTTTAGGGTTTAGGGTTTAGGGTTTGGGGTTTGGGGTTTGGGGTTTGGGGTTTGGGGTTTGGGGTTTGGGGTTTAGGAGTTCTACGGTTTAGGGTTAAGGGTTTGGGGTTTAGGGTTTAGGCTTCCCAGGTGTGTGGCTGAGGCTTGCTTTAGGGCTTTTGGCTGTTGGGGCTTGAGGAGTTGGGAAGGGTTTTGGGGGGATACAGGGTTTTGGAGCTTTAGGGGCTTAGGGTTTAGGGTTTCGGAGGTTCCAGGGTTTTGGGCCTTTTTTTTTTTGGGGGGGGGGGGGGGGGGGGAGTTGGGGAGCTTGGGATTGGATGCTTTACTGACTCTGTACCCACTTGCGATCCCGTGCTACCCGTCGGAGGCGGTTCCTGAAAGATTGTCCCTTTCACAAGGCTCATGACCATTCTCGGAGCCCCCCAAACCCTAAAACCTAAACCCTAAACCTTAAACCTTAAACCCTAAACCCCTAAAGCTTAGAGCACCAATAGGCTTTGCGCGTCAGGCGCTTGAAGACACGGTCGTCCTGAGACCACGGTCTGAGTGTTCGAGGGTTTCGGGCCCAGTTCAGGGCTCAGAGTTTCGGGTTTAGGGTGTCGGCTTTCCTCATCCCAGACCCCTGTAAGGACTGCCCTCAAAAGACAGAACGCTGCTAACAGCCGACGCGCAGGAACGGCCCTAAACCCTAAACCCGAAAATCCTAAAACCCTAAACCCTAAACCCTACACCCTAAACCCTAAAACCCCCCAAAAGCCCAAGCTTGGCATGTCCGGGTCCTCGTGCTCCTGGGAAGTCAAAGAACTTCATGAGGGGTGCTTAGGGTTCAGGGTTTAGGGTTTAGGGTTCAGGGTTTAGGGTTCAGGGTTCAGGGTTCAGGGTTCAGGGTTTAAAGTTTAGGGTTCAGGGTTCAGGGTTTAGGGTTTAGGGTTCAGGGTTTAGGGTCTAGGGTTCAGGGTTCAGGGTTGAAAAGTTCAGGGTTCAGGGTTGAAGGTTCAGGTTTCAGGGTTGAAGGTTCAGGGTTCAGGGTTTAGGGCTCTTGCGCTTGGGGGCGGGCTCCGATTGACTTTAAGGGGGGGGGGGGGGTGGAACACACAGTGTGTCTAAACCCTAAACCCTAAACCTTGACACTCCCAACAGATTATCGGGGCGGCTAGGGCCTAAGGAGTTCATGCGATGTTTCGGTCAAAATTCCTGAAGCACGGCTCATGAGGCGCAGCCTCAAATCCCAAAACGCTCAGCCCTGCACCAGACCTTAAACCCTAAACCCTAAGCCCTAAACCGTAAACCCCAAACCCTAAACCCTAAACCCTAAACCAAATGTTGTTTTCTTAAGAAAGTTTACAAGGAATCCTGGCCCTACTTGGAAGAGGGAGAAGGGGCACCACTGGGCCTCAGATTTGACTGCCTACACACTGGAAGCCTTGTTTACAAGGGTTTAGGGTTTAGGGTTTAGGGCTTAAGGGAGGTGGACTCGGGTTTTGAAGGTTTAGGGTTGAGTGTTTAGGGTTTAGGGTTTAGAAATACTCCCCAGTACTCCCTACGGCTTCCTAAGCTTCCCTAAGCTTCCCTAGGTACCTAGCTCCATGAACCCCCCCCTAAACCCGAAACCCGAAAGCCTAAACCCTAAACCCTAAACCCGAAACCCTAAGCACTCTATAATCTTCTGCAGCCTGGCGACCAAAGCGTCCGCGGCTTGCTTCATGAGCTTCTCGTCCAGGCGCAGCATCTCACCTGCAGCAATAAGCTGGGGCCTTGGGGCCTTTTCGGGGTTTAGGGTTTAGGGTTTAGGGTTTAGGGTCCTACCCACCCCAAACCCGCCCAAACCCCCGAAAAGCGCCCGGAAGCCCCTCAAGCCTCTGAAGCCCCTCTACATTCAGGGAGTCCTGAGACTCGCCAAAACGTAGCCCTTTCCCCCAGACCTAACCCGAGCTTGACTTTCATGGTTTGCGGCGGGGCTTTTACCAAAAAGACCCCGAGCTTAACTTGACTTCTTATCGCGGCTTAGGGTTTCGGGTTCAGGGTTTATAGGGTTTGTAGGGTTTGTAGGGTTTATAAAGGGTGGCTTATAGGGTTTATAGGGTTTATAGGGTCTATAGGGTTTAGGTCTCAAGTTCCCCTCAGGATGCCGATGCCTTGGACCATGGCCGACAGCAAGAAGTCCAGGTCGCGACTACCCAGGGCCCTGGTTCCGGGTTCTGTCTTGCATGTTGGTTGGTAGGGTTGGTAGGGTTGGTAGGGCTTAGGGCTTAGGGCTTAGGGCTTGGGGTTTAGGGTTTAGGGTTAACTAGAGTTCAGGGTTTAGGGTTTAGGATTACATATGCCCCTATGGAATTCTTGTTTTTCGGCGTTCGGGGCTTTCGCGTGGGAGGTGAAGGGTTTGGAGGTGTAGGGTGTTAGGCTTTGAGCCTCACATTCAAGGTGTCAACCACAAAGCGCTCTAAGCCCCAAGCTCTCAACCCTCCCTTTCCCCCGACCTCCTGGGACTCAATTTAGGGAGCCGAAACCCGAAACCCCAAACCCTAAACCCCAAACCCTAAACCCCAATCCCTAAACCCAAAACCCAAACCCCAAACACCAAACCCTAAACCCCAAATCCCCTCCATTTTGGGGGAAACGCCCCGCCTCTGGAGTTCTTCTTCCGCCGCCTCGCGGTCCTCACGCCAGCTTGAATCGAACTAGACCCAAGAGTCAGGGTTTAGGGTTTAGGGTTTAGGGTTTAGGGTTTAGGGTTTAGGGTTTAGGGTTTAGGGTTTAGGGTTTAGGGTTTAGGGTTTGCGGTTTAGGGTTTAAGGTTTGGGGTTTAGGGTCTAGGGCTTAGGGTTTGCGGTGACCCAAGACAAGAGTCACCTAGGAATAAACAGGGTGCCCTTTTTGGTGTAAAGGGGCTTCTGAGGGAACCTAGCCTCTAAAAAGGGGGAATGTGGGTCCTCGTGAAGGAGAACTTCCGAACTTCAGGCGCAATAGGGTTTTGAGGAGCTTCTACGCCATTCAGGATGCACGGTTGAGGGTAGGAGTGTTTAAGGGGTTTAGGGTTTGGGGTTTTGGGAGTTCAGAACCTTTTTTTCCGGGTTTTTTTTTTATGAAGGGATCAGGATGGGCTTAATGAAAGCTGCTCTAAACCCAGTGCCCATGCATGTGCGGCGGCAGCACGCCCTCAGGAGCGCTTTCGACGCCTTCAGCGCCGGCCTAAACCCTGGCTTCCCTGCCCAAAGGGTGGAAGCTTAGACCCAGGGGCACTGTTCAAGCGAACTCGGACTGTATCGGATGACCCCTAAGGCAAGAAGTATGTTATAAAAATGAAACCACACCCGGGCTTCAAGAGATTCGCGACAAGAAGTGCGGCAAGTGCACCGCGACAAGACACCGCGTGCACGTTCAGCTTCTCTCTCCCTGAGACCTGCGCGTCATCAACACTGGAATGCCTTCTCCCGGTCACTTCTTGAACTTCTCCAGCCACTGCCTTCGCGCCGAGGCTTCTTCAAAATCCAGAGTCCCTAAACCCTAAACCCTAAACCCTAAACCCTAAACCCTCCACGCAGGCCCGGCAGCGATGAGAACTCACTTCGCTCCCTCCCTTTCGACCACAGACAGAACTTCGCGGCACAGTCTCTCTCTCGAAGGCAAGACATACCACACCAAGGGGCAAAACCCCAAAAAGCATTCCTACAACTATGTCTATCGTAGTTCCGAAGACTATTATCGGTTATCGTAGTCCGTACCTTCCGAGACGTGGTACGTACCTACACTTGAGGGTTTAGGGTTTAGGGCCTAGGGGAGGCTACTTGCTGGACACCGCGAACCGTGAGCCTCAAGCCTCTGCACTCACACGTTTCAAAACCAAGATCCCACCCACACCCACACGCGCGCACACACACACACACAACCTTCATGGGGTTCTACCTTGGACCCCTAAAGTTGTGCCCTTGGGCTTGGGGACCCTCCTCAAGGATCCTCGAAGGGAAGATGAGGTGCCTTTTAAGGGAAGCCTTCAGGGTTACAACCTTAGGGTGTAGGGTTTAGGGTTTAGGGTTTAGGGTTTAGGGTTTAGGGTTTAGAAAGAGGTACGAGTCTGCGTCCCTTCGGAGGTGAATTTCCAGAGCCCCGTCGAAGCGGAGAACTCCAGCCCTGCCTCGGACCACAGAGAAACCTTCGAAGTGAAATGCCCTGAAGCCCTAAACTCCTAACCCTAAACCCTAAACCCTAAACCCGAAGCTCTAAAAACGCCTGAACCTTGGATCAGGAGCAAACACACCCAGGCACCGCACAAAAGTCCCCAGGAGCCTCAACTCACCACCCCCCAAGCCCTCGACACTACAGACCCAGTGCTGCGCGTGCCCAGGGTAGAGTGAGGGTCTGTGCCCCCAAGGGTGGCCCAATCGCCCTAAGCCCCCGAAACCCTCAACCATGAACCCTCCTGATCCCTAAGCCCTGAACCCTAAACTCTAAACCCAAAACCCTAAACCCTGAACCCAAACCCAAACCCAAACCCAAACCCAAACCCAAACCCAAACCAACCTCCAAACACCGAGTCCTTCTCAGCATTGCGAAGGGCCTTGTGCCGCGCCTCCTGCAAAGGCTGCCGCACTCCACTTAGGGTTTAGGGTTTAGGGTTTAGGATGTAGGGTTTAGGGTTTAGGGTTGCAGGGTTTAGGGTTGTAGGGTTTAGGGTTTAGGGTTGCAGGGTTTAGGGTTGTAGGGTCTAGGGTTGTAGGGTTGTAGGATTGTAGGGTTGCAGGGTTGTAGGGTCTAGGGTTGTAGGGTTCAGGGTCCTAGCAAACATGCAGTTCCCAAGGGATGCAGGCACGTCAATGCTTCGGCCTCGCACACAAAGCAGTTTTTTTAGAGAACTCTACAGCCCACATATGCCCCCCAAAGTGTCTCCAGCTTCGTAAGACGTTTCGACAAGCATTCGCAACGTAGATGCTGAAGGCTTGCGTTGGGAGACGTTGGGTTCAGGGTCTAGAGGGTTTCGGGTTTCGGGTTTAGGGTTTAGGGTTTAGGGTTTAGGGGGTTTAGAGGTGCATGACCTTGAATCCCATTGAATCCCATGCAGCACATCACCGGCACTTTGCCCAGCTTTCCTCCAAGGTCTTCATGGTCACTGCCTGGCCGAAGACCTGGAGGACCATTGCTTCCAGTTTAGGGTTTTGGGTTTAGGGTCTAGGGTCTGGGGTCCAGGGTTTAGGGTGGAGTGTTTTGTCTTGTGGGTTCAGGGGTTGCGAAGTGAACCAATGCAATTGTACGGGTATGTGACTGCATGTAAGGGTGGGTTCTCGAAAGATTGAAGGGTTTTTGGGGGAGGTATATTTGTTCTAGAAGCTTTCTTCACGCCCCATATAAACCCTATAAACCACCCTACAAACCCTAAAACCGACCCTATAGACTCCACTCTAAACCCGAAACCCTAAAACCCAAAATCCTAAAACCCTAAACCCTAAACCCTAACCGTAAACCTTAAACCCTAAAACCCTAAACCCTAAGTCCTAAACCCTCACCCCTTGATGTGCCTTGGTGCGTCCCAGAGCCAGGCCATTCTCGTCCAGGCCCATCTCTGTGAGGCGTTGGCGCAGCGCCTGGGATTGTGGTCTTGGGAAAAGGGGCTTCCGGGTCGCCTTAGGGTTTAGAGTTTAGGGCTTAGGTTTAGGGTTTAGGGTTTAGGGTTTAGGGTTTAGGGTTTAGGGTTTAGGGTTTCGGGTTTCGGGCACTTAGGCACTTAGGGTCTGAACCCTGCTATGCTGTGGTCCTTGTCTGCACGCATCTGATGATCTCTTTGGGTCCCCGCAGCCCCTTTGTATCGCAGGCCCATTTTGGGGGCGCCTTGGGCATGTAGAGTATTTGGGGGTCCCAGAGACTTGGGGTTTGGTGTGCAGTTTATGGTTTGGTGACTCCCTCAGGGGGATAGATACATGTGCGAGCCTACAAGGATTAAGGGTTTAGGGTTTAGGTTCGGGGGTTGCGGCCCTTCATCGAGTTGGTTGAATACCAGTCGTTGCGTTTCAACATAGTTGTTGAAACCGTGCGCGGTGTCCCAGGCAAGCACCTATGCCTTCATTACTCAACATACTGGCATGTGGGGTATGTGGGGTTCACGGGGCCTAAACCCTAAATCCTAAACCCCAAACCCTAAACCCTAAACCCTAAACCCTGAACCCTGACTACGCCTTTTGGGAGGGGTCCTGCTGCAGACAAAGCACGTCGATCATGATCTTGAGCTTCTCTTCGTCGTTCACCTGCCTGGCTGCAGTGAGCAAGGGGGCAAGGTCGCTGGCTTAGGGTTTAGGGGTTTAGGGTTTAGGGTTTAGGGTTTCGGGGTTTAGGGTTTAGGGTTTAGGGTTTAGGGTTTAGGGTTTAGGGTTTAGGGTTTAGGGTTGAGGGTTTAGGGTTTAGGGTTTAGGGTCGCCATGGTTCCACCCACCTAAACGGCACCATGTGGGGGCTTCCGAATTTAGGGGTACCTTATTGGGGTCCTAAGGGGATCCTACTATTTGGGGATCTACATTGGCGGGTCTCTCTTGTTTTCGTAAACCCCCATGTGTGACCTGCGAAAACATTTCAAACGACATCTCCGTGACACGAGAAGTTGTTCCTCCTCTGCCCCGGGATGGCTCGGAGAATATACTTTGGCCATGACCAGAAAGCAGCACGGGGCAACTCAAACCCCAAATCCATGCGCAGAGAATCTTTCTGGAAACTGTTTAAGATTGATTTGTTGAAGGGCACACCTAAAAGGCATATGGCTAGTTTTCACAACGAGGGTTCCCTTTCGGGTCCCCTATAGAACACGGCACCCTTGCAAAACCGACCCGGTCAAAGGAACCCCAAATGCAGGGAACTACCTCCAAATCCTAAACCCTAAACCCTAAACCCTACACCCTAAACCCTCCACCCAGACGAGACTGAAAAAGGCGCCTCCGGCCAATGAACTTGGGCCACTCTGCCCGGGGGAGGAGGAGGCGATATCGCTCCAGCACTTCGGCCTCGGTCAGGGTTTAGGGTTTAGGGTTTAGGGTGTAGGGTGTAGGGTTTAGGGTTTAGGGTTTAGGGTTTAGGGTTTAGGGTTTAGGGTTTAGGGTTTAGGGTTTAGGGTTTAGGGTTTAGGCTTTTAGGCTTTAGGGCTTTAGGGCTTTAGGGCTTTAGGGCTTTAGGGCTTTAGGGCTTTAGGGCTTCAGGCTTCAGGGCTTTAGGGCTTTTGGGCTGTAGGGCTTTAGGGCTTAGGGGTTTAGGGTTTAGTCTTTCAAGGGCCGATTTTGAAGGATTGCATGAGCTTGGGGTACATGAGGGGGAAGCCCCTACTTTGGGACACGCGTCGCAGATCAGATGCGGCTGCTGTCTCAGACAACCAACCCTCATGCACAAGAACCCCAAACTGCACAAATGCCAAAAGTAGCTACATGCAAATTTCATCATGTCATTGGTGTTGTCTTATTACATTCATGTGTGCCTGCTTTTTCATCTTATTATGTTTATTTTTATTCTTACTATTATTAGTAATATTACTATTATTATTATTATTAATAGTAGTACTATTAGCATTATTGGCATTATTAGAATCATTAGAATTATTAGTATTATTGGTATTATTCGTTTTATTAGTATTATTCGTATCATTCGTATTATTCGTATTAATAGAATTATTAGTACTATTAGTATTATTAGCATTATTAGTATTATTTGTATTATTAGCATTATCAGTATTATTTGTTTTCTTATGCTCATTTTTATTATTATTAGTAGTAGTAGAACTATTTTTCTGATTATGCACGTAGCCCAGCGCCGTCTGAGGATCCAGGCATGGGCCAAGCGCATCGGAAACCCGCTCTGCCGAATGCGCACCGCTTCGAAGATGCCGCTGTAGAGCATCTGCTCGTAGGTGAACCTCGAGCCACCCTAAACCCTAAACCCTAAAAGCCACCAAAGCCCCCTTCAAGCCTTAAATCCTAGACTCTAGAAGCCCTAAACCCTAAACCCCAAACCCTACACCCTAAACCAAAGAAAGTTACCTGGAACCCCCCCCCCCCACCCCCACCCCCACCCAAAGAAATAAAAAAGGAAAAGGAATCCCCTAAACCCTGTTTTGTGCTGGCCCCAAATAGAGGGTTGCTTGGATGTACGGCTTAAAAGTAAGGCCCTCTTTTGGGAAGGCTATGGGCTCCAACAAGGGACCTGCTAATTCAGAGCAATCCCCAAGAAGCCCCCGACACATGTGGGTTTAGGGTTTAGGGTTTAGGGTTTAGGGTTACTTGGCTACCCCAGCCAAGAAAACGAGGACACATCGGTTGTCGGTTGGGTTTAGGCTTCAGGGTTCATCCGGACTTGTGTGGTCGGTCGATCCACGGGCAAGGAGGCTAGCGATGCGGGCCTCTATGCCTTTTGTACAATGTCAGTCCGAGACAACGCCTCAACGAAATTAAGCACCAAATTAACGAGCCGACATCAGGAAATTCAGGGTTTAGGAGTTAGGGTTGGGGCTTCAGGGTTTAGGGGCTCATAACCGAAACCCTAAACCCTAAACCCTAAACCTTAAACCCTAAACCCTAAACCCTAAACCCATATTCTTGAGGCCCAGGAACTTGGAGTCGAAGTTGTCCGGCACCTGCCAATAACACTTGGAGGACATGGGCGCTTGACAGGGTCAAGGGCTGAAGGGTTTAGGGTGTGGCGGGTTAGGGTTTAGGGTTTGGCGGGTTAGGGTGTAGGGTTTAAGGGTTAAGGGTTAAGGGTTAAGGGTTTAGGGTTTAGGGTTTAGGGTTTACGGTTTAGGGTTTAGGGTTTAGGGTGTAGGGTTTAGGGTTTAGGGTCCAGGGTTCAGGGTTCAGGGTTTCGGGCTGCAAGGTTTAGGGACCCGTAGCTCCAAACCCTACAAGCCCTGTAAACCTTACACACAACAAAGCCTACAAACCCCATAAATCAAGGCATTTCTGGAGGCAAACTTCACCCCAAAACCCTATTCTAATTGTTCAGGCCAGCCCTAAACCCTAACCCTAAACCCTAAACCCGAAATAAACCCTGCAAAGCATGTAAACCCCTAAACCCGCAAAACCCAAAAGCCCTCCAAACCCCTAAACTCTGCACCCCAAAACGCCTGAATTCTGAACCCCTAAACCCCACCCACCCCCCACCCACAGCCACCGCCGCAGCCACACCCACACCCACGCCCACACCCAACCCCCCACCCCAAACCCCAAACCCTAAACCCCAAACCCCAAACCCTAAACCCCAAACCCCAAACCCCAAACCCTAAACCCCAAACCCTAAGCCTAAACCCTAAACCCCAAACCCCCAAACCCTAAACCCTAAACCCCGCCTTTGCGGCGTTGGGCTTAAGGCACCGGACGAAGTGCGGCTCAGCTGAGCTGACCTTACAGACATGCCCAGGACTCTGAGGCTTAAGGTTTAGGGTTTAGGGTTTAGGGTTTGGGGTTTAGGGTTTGGGGTTAGGGGTTTAGGGTTTCGGGTTTAGAGTTTACGGTGGCAAGGGTGTTTTGGGTTTTTTTTGAGGTTGGGCAGTTGGGTTTAGGGTTGGGGTTGAGGGGTTTAGGGTGCTAGGGGTCTAGGGCTTTAGGGGTTTAGTCCAAACATGAAACATTCTTTCTTATAAGGGTGCTATAGGGGTTATTATCTTCTACCTACTGGGTTCTTAAGCAAGTAGCAGTACACCCAACTCACAGGCAGAGTGCACACTTTCAGAGTAGCTTCATGGTCCCTGAGTATGGGCCTTTAAACTGGCACAATGGGTACCCTTATATGCCCCTTATATACCCTATACAAAGTACGGGCTCATACATCAGAACCCTGTAAAACCCTAAACCCTAAACCTAGGACCTGCTGGGGCCTGGGCAGTTTGCATCAAGTCTGCCAGGGACTGCCGGAAGCCAGAGCTCACAGTCTTCGACTTCGCCTGCAAGGCGGAAACCCCAAACCGTAACCCCTAAACCCTAAACCCTAAACCTCACACAAGTGAGATCCATGAAGGCTACTTAGCTTTCAGGCTCAGGTGTGCACTGACACCCTAAACACTAAACCCGAAACCCTAGATCCTAAACCCGAACCCCCAAACCCTAAACCAACCCCATTAATCTGACACCGAATCGGACGCTCTAAAACCCTTCAAACCATCTAGACGCAATGTACCCTCCAGCAGGTCCACAGAAAGCTATAGCTTTCCAGCTATAGACAATATGTAGGTTACCTTACTTGGAGGAAGCCTAACCCTAAACCCTATAAACCCTATAAACCCTATAAACCCTATAAACCCTATAAACCCTATAAACCCTATAAACCCTATAAACCCTATAAACCCTATAAACCCTATAAACCCTATAAACCCTATAAACCCTATAAACCCTATAAACCCTATAAACCCTATAAACCCTATAAACCCTATAAACCCTATAAACCCTATAAACCCTATAAACCCTATAAACCCTATAAACCCTATAAACCCTATAAACCCTAAACCCTAAACTGAAAACCCCCACTTGCGCCTTACGCGCGCGGTTGCCGCTCTCGGCCTCCTGAGCCTCCGTGGCCACGCGAACACCGATCTCCTGGAGCTGCTTGGGCTTTAGGGTTTAGGGTTTAGGGTTTAGGGTTGAGGGTTTAGGGTTTAGGGTTTAGGGTTTAGGGTTTAGGGTTTAGGGTTTCGGGTTTCGGGTTTCGGGTTTCGGGTTTCCCAAGACTTCTGAAGGTAAACTCTAAACCCTAACTCCTAACCCCTAACCCCTAAACCCAACATCCTAAACCCCAAACCCAAACCATTGGCGGCTCAGTTGCCCTAGCGGCATCCGGGAATTTCACTGGAATTGAGTGGCCGTTGCCGATCTCTGGTGCTCTAAGGCCCCACTGCAATGGGAGCTCATGCCTTCAGCTCACGGTCTCAGGGTCTAAACCCTAAACCCTAAACCCTAAACCCTAAACCCTAAACCCTAAAACCCTAAACCCTAAAACCCTGCGCCAAGCAAGACTTCAGAGTATCTACAAAGCTGCCGTGATTCGCGCCGTAGAGTAGGGTTTAGGGTTTAGGGTTTAGGGTTTAGGGTTTAGGGTTTAGGGTTTAGGGTCTAGGGTCTAGGGTCTAGGGTCTAGGGTCTAGGGTCTAGGGTCTAGGGTCTAGGGTCTAGGGTCTAGGGTCTAGGGTCTAGGGTCTAGGGTCTCGGGTTTAGGGTTTAGGGTTCATGGCCACCACCATCCCGGCAGCAATCTTGAGCAGTAGTGGATGAACTTCCATCGATGTGCAACTGGCATGACAGGATCGTCTAGCGTGGCCGTGCAAACCCTAAACCTTAAACCCTGAACCCTTAAACAAACATGTAACCCTCTTCAGTCCGAATTGGGAAACCCCAAAAATGTCCCAAGGACCTCCCTGGTCATGATATCTCCGCCGTGCTGACAGCTACAGCATCAGTCCGACGACATGACGCCTACAGCATGTCACCTTGCGTGGCCAGTCGGTCTAAGCCTAAACATCAAACCCTAAACCCTAAACCCTAAACTTATAAACCCTAAACCCTAAACCCTAAACCCTGTTGCAAGGCTTGAGAAAGTGGCAGGGTGTCATGAGTGGGGTTGGAAGTTAAGGTAGTGGCTGATACCCCTAAACCTGGATCTTAACCCCTAGACAACCCCAACCCCGAAGACCCACAGCCCCAAGTGCCCGTGGCCCTGATGCCTAAACCCAAATGTTTAAGGTTTTTTGGTTTAGGGTAACCTGAAAGCCTAAATGCCAACAACCTCAAGCCCTCCTCGATCAGGCTGCAGGAGGAGGACTTTAGCAGCTCCAACGCCTGAAGAAGATGTGAAGGGGAAGAAGGGGCATTTAAAGCTAGCAAAGGCTTCATAAGGTTTCACAGGGCTTGTAGGACGTTAGAGGGGTTTATAGGGAGAAGGGGCCGAAGCTGGCGTTGTAGTGTAGGAAACCTTAAACCCTAAACCCTAAACAGTGCGCATTACAGGGCTTCACGCGGTAAGGGCCACGAGGGGCGTAGGGATGTTTAGGGGCTGGAGGCTTCGGACCCCAGGATGTTGGTGCTTACAGGGTTTTCTGGGGTTTGGGGGTATAGGGTTTAGGGTGCAGGGCTTTGGGGTTTTGGGGCTTCTGAGGTTCTGGGATGTCTGGGTGTTACAGGGTTTGGGTAGGGCTTGATGTGTGCGTTTCGGCTCTGAGAAAGGGGGAACGGGTGGAAACGGGGCAAAGCGGGGAATGGGGGCAAATGGGGGGGAGTGGGGGACGGGGGGAGGGGGGGGGGTGGAGGGGGGGTGCAAGCTCCACAATAGTCTGACGCATTTCGTCGCGCTTGGCCTCGTCTGGCAGCTTGGCCATGTTCTTCTCGAGGAAGCCCTTAGGGTTCAGGGTTTGGGGTTTGGCGGGTTGTGCTCAACATCTGCGATTGCTTCCCAGTAGACAGGGAATTGCGAAGGGCGCAAGTTCTCCGGTGCTTCTGTCTGACCAGGACATGTCAGCGCCAGCTTCAGCCCGAACACAACAAGTATCTTCCAGCTGTACTTGTCAGGTCATCCTCTGAGCAATTTGGCCACAATATAGCAGCATACGTAGAATCGGTGTAGGGAGATTACTTAAGGTTCATGAAACCCTGCTAAACAGTGGCGAGGAGCAGACACGTCATAGGTGACCTCGCCCGCAAAGTGCCTGAGGAACCCCAAACCCTCAACCCTCAACCGTAAAGTTCTACTGTGTTTGGAGGTTTACAGGTGGCAGCTTAAAAGACAAGGGAGGGGGTCTGCTGCGAGGACTGGAACGCTATTGACCGCTATTGCTTCATACGGCCACGGGAACCTACATTGTCGAGCATTGTAAGGGCAGCTTTTCTTTGAAGGTCTACTTGACATAACTGTGTACATGTATACACATACATGCCCGTGTGCACGTACATGCATACGCTACTGTTTTCAGTGGAAACACTTACAACAGCTTCTAAGCACAAAGCACATCATCGAACTTACTCCACCAAGGAAGATGGCAGACTAGCTTGGTCTTCCGACTGGTCTGGACATGGTTCGCGGTGTTTCCCTGCTCTTTCTGAAAGCCCTGAGACCTTCAGCCCCTCCAACTCAACCCTTAAGCCCCCTCATCCTAAACCCTAAACCCTAAAACCCAAACCCTAACCCGCAACTAGTAAGACAAAGGAGCTTGATGCCGAACTTGACCGCACCTGCGTCCGGTTTAGGGGTGTACATTTCTTAGACATGTCCGGGCGTTAAGAAGCGCTTGGGGGGCTTTGGGTGTGCTTGTATTTGATGTTGGTTGCTTTAGGGGACTCTAGAGTCTAGAGGCTTTGTGGTTGGGGTTTCAGGGTCGCCTTGCTGGGAGGTTCACGGGTAGTTGGAATTGTAGGTACAGGGTTTAGGGTTTAGGGTTTAGGGTTTAGGGTTTAGGATTTAGGGTTTAGGGTCTAGGGTCTAGGGTCTAGGGTCTAGGGTCTAGGGTCTAGGGTTCCGTAAACCTCGGGATCTCATTGAACATCTCTTGCCAGTGTTTTGGAGGGCCGACGAAACACCCCGCGTGAGAGCCATGCCAGGGTTTAGGGGTTAGGGTTCAGAGGTTTAGGGTTTAGGGATTAGGCTTTCGGGCTTAGGGTCTTCTGATGCCTGTGACTCGTTCGCACTTCAACCTGCTCCTCTATGTTGCGGCATCATCCATGTAGGACGACATCCGCTCAGATCCTATCTACGTAGGCCCTTGCCATTAATGGAGCTGCAGTCAACACTCTTTGTGTGCGCGTGTCTGTGTTTACGTTTACAGATGAAAGATCGAAACCCCTTGACCCTCATCGAGATCCCCCTTCAGGGTTAACCGCCCATCCTGAACCCGAAACCCGCATTCTAAAGACACCTGGCAGGCGCTCTAAACTAGGCTCCCTTTTTACGGATCCTACTACAGCTTGGGGTCTTGTAGAGTAAAGCAAAGAAGAGCCACCGGACTCCTGACACTTTGGGTCCCACCAGCCTCCCATCTTGCTTTTGACTATCCTGACGGGCCATGGGGGCGGGGGTGTGGGGGCACGGGCTTGAGGGCTTGAGGGCTTGAGGGCTTGAGGGCTTTGGGGTGTTAGGGCTTACATGCCCTTGCAGGGCTTATCACGGCTTTTGTCTAGTAATTCTTAGGGCTTCTGCCAGGATTTAGAGGTGTGATGAGATGAGCCTTCTGGGATGTAGGGTCGCCCAAGAGATGTCAAGACTGAACCGGGATGGCTCACAGCAATCATCGCATCGCTCAAAAACCACGGAATGAACCCTGAAGCTCTGACGCCGCAACGGAAAACGAAGAGCCGCCCCAATGAAGACTCAGACCGCTTAGGGTTTAGGGGTTTCGGGTTTAGGGTTTAGGGGTTTCGGATTTAGGGTTTAGCTTGAGTTGCAGTTCGGGTGAGGCACATGGGAAATATTGAGCCTTGGGTCTGAAGCCCGATTTGGGGCGGGGGGGGGGGGTTCCGAACATGGGGTTATGCCCTTCTTGGGGGGCTACTACAGTAATTATGGTGTTTTGGGGTATTATTTAGATGGGTTACCCCTTCTGGGGAAATGTCCATGTCCAGCCCCTCTGCTTTGCCTAAGGTTGTTCCTTTGTGCTTCTGGAACCCTTTTTGAAGATACCCTAAGCGAACATAAGGGCGATTGCATTAAGGGAAACCTTTACAGGTATATAACATTAAAAAGAGATCTCAAATAACACTCAGCACTGGCATCGCTGCCTGGGATTGTTGCCGTGGGTTCTGATGACCTTGGACACGAAGGTTTGGTCCGTGGCTTTCGGTATCAGCACCTGCACCACAAATCCGGCTTTGGGATGTCGGGTTTCGGGATCGCGGTGTCTTGTTGGGACTTGTGGAAACTTTAAAGCTGCCAGCATAGCATGCTGACGTGCCGTGGTTGAACTCATGCAGCGACTAATGTAGCGCAGCACCTGCCCCTAAAGCCTAATCCCTTAGGCCCTAAACATCCCCAAGCCCTAAGCCTGCTCAAAGCCTACGGCCTGAACCGCCTTAACCCTGCGGAAATCTCCGCCTTTGGAATCCCGAAGCCCTAACCCCCCCAAAACCCCAAACTCCTAATACAAGGGCCCTGACAATTAGAATGGGGTTTTGGGGGGTTACTGCAGTTGATTCATAGAGGGCCACAAGGAAATCGAATTAGGTGCTGAAAAGCGCGCCTCGTCATCCAACATGGACAGGATGCCTCCCTTGCCATTGATCATCTCCACGATGTCGCTGTTGTCCTGCCAGGGGGTTTCGGAGCGAAGCCGAGTCTCGGGTTTAGGTCTTTAAGGGTTTTAAGGGTTTTAAGGGTTAAGGGTTTGGGTTTAGGGTTTAGGGTTTAGGGTTTAGGGTTTAGGGTTTAGGGTTTAGGGTTTAGGGTTTAGGGTTTAGGGTTTAGGGTTCAGGGTTCAGGGTTCAGGGTTTAGGGTTTAGGGTTTAGGGTTTAGGGTTTAGGGTTTAGGGTTTAGGGTTTAGGGTAGGATTGGCCCTTAAAAGCCTCGGGAAACATTTTCCTGAGTATGATCCTCTTACACCCAAGAAGGGGAAAATGCAGAAAATGTCCCAAGAGCCGACGGAGTAGGGAGAAAGGAGTACTAGTCGCACTGAGACTAGTAAGTATCATGGTAATGTTCGCAAGCAAAATGTTGGTCTTGTGTGTGTGTGTGTGTGCGGCCGGGATGCAGTAAACCCTAAGCCCTAAACTCTAAACCCTAAACCCTAAGCCCTAAGCCCTAAGCCCTAAACCCTACAACTTTGGGACGTGCAGGCAGCTCCTGGTACTGGACTTCCACACCCACCGAGACGCCCTCGGCCTCGTACTCCTGAGAGAAGGGGCGAAGCACCGAGGCGCGAAGGGTTTAGGGTTTAGGGTTTAGGGTTTAGGGTTTTAGGGTTTTAGGGTTTTAGGGTTTTAGGGTTTTAGGGTTTTAGGGTTTGGGGTTTCAGGGTTTTAGGGTTTCAGGGTTTTAGGGTTTCAGGGTTTCAGGGTTTCAGGGTTTCAGGGTTTCAGGGTTTCAGGGTTTTAGGGTTTTAGGGTTTTAGGGTTTTAGGGTTCAGGGTTTCAGGGTTCTAGGGTTTAGGGTTTAGGGTTTATAAGGTTCAGGGGTTTCGGAGCTGCCTCAAGCTCCATGCGAAAGAAGAACTCATTGAAGTGCTTCTGAAGGAGCTCATTGCTGAGGTTGATGAAGAGCTGCCTCTCCATGCTGCGCGCGCTTCGACTGCCCTGACCCTTTCAGGCCTTATATGGGGGGGTTTCCGGCTCTACGGGGATTCTATTGCATTTGGGGTATGAAATAGGTACCGCCAACTTTGGGAAATACCCATATGGGCAGTCGCTCAAAGTATCCGTCCGCCAAACACGAACCCGAAGGTAGGTTCACCGCCGTAGCTTAGATCTTTTGAACAACCCTCATAAGAAATCTGTACCAAAATCCCCCACTCCCTCCCCTTGTGGACCCCAAACCCTAAACCCTAAACCCTAAACCCTAAACCCCAAACCCTAAACCCTAAACCCTAAACCCTAAACCCTAAACCCGACGTGGACCTGTGGATGCTTTGGCTCTGGGTTGAGGCAACCCGGGGATGGCTCTCCACATGCTCAGCTCTCTAAAATTAGGGTTTAGGGTTTATAGGGTTTAGGGTTTAGGGTTTAGGGTTTAGGGTTTAGGGTTTAGGGTTTAGGGTCCACAAGGGGGCTTGGGCACCCTAATAAAAAAAGGGGCGCCGCCTTCTACTAAGGACCCCAAAAGGGACCATCATCTTGAGAACTCACCACGTCGCAGCAACCGAAGCTTCTGTGTCGGCACTCTCGCCGAAGGTCCCGTGCGCCTTCCGTGGTCCTTTTCGCCTGTGCCTCGGCCTCTTGCGTGGCTTTGCTTCGCGGGGCGCCTCTCTTGACCGTGTGCAAAGTGGTCTTTCAGACTGTTCAATACTGAGATGGCCCTTAAAACCCTGCGAAATACTCCTGAACATGATCCTCTCAAACCCAATAAGGGAAAACACAACATGTCCCAAGGGCCTACCGAGAATAGGGTGCAACTGTGGTGCTCCAGGGAGTTGTGCTCGAAGCTCTCGAAGCCGGCGATATCCAACACTCCGAAGAAGACCTTGCGTC